TTGTATAAATGATTAGTTCTTAAATGTGCCAATTGTTGGATTATATTACCATTTAAGATCATTAATTCTATTGGATCTTAAATGGTACTCTACTGAGATATATATTCTTACCAAATGGTACTCTAATTTTATATTCAACCACTATTGGACAATTTCAAAAACGAGCTTGGCAATTTCATTTCCCAATTTTATAGTTACATTGAACAAATTATCCATGGCAAAGTGATCATAATTAACCACTTTTGTAACACTACCATGGGCTCAAGGTAATGCAAGTTAAAAGCCCTCGAGCTTAAATTAAAATGGGCCTATACTTAGATCAATTCAGCCCATCAAGATGCATGAGTGCAGAGTGCAACGCTTTGCTTTAAAAAAAAAAAGCACAAAAAACATCAACACTCTGCAACTGTAGAACTCGTTTCGGTAGCTGCTTCTTTCGCTGAAAAAAGGTTTCTTCAATTCAAACAATTAATCTGTCTCTCGAATCTCGATCAAGGTACTCTTCTTTCTTCGATTTCGTTACATTCGATTTCTCTAAACGTTTCCAGATCTTTTGCTTCGTTTGAAGTGTTTTAATGAGGTTTTTTTAAGTTTCTACTGCATTTTAATAAATTTGAATCTCGATTTAGGTTTACTTGAATTTTTAAACAAAATCATTTGAATCGTTAATATGTTGGTTGGAGTCTTTCTGTTTATTCGTTTTGTAGTTCGATGGATTTTGTGAATTAGGGCTGTGTTTTAGAATTTAGAGGTTCATTGTTCTCAATGAGCTAAAAACAATTTTAGGGAATTTGAGTTGAAGGATGAACATGATTTAGGTTTTTAAATCTTATAAGAGAAGATGCATTAGTTACTTAAGTCGTGTTTGTCTTCTTCTTTTCTGTTTTATTGCTTAGGTTTATGTCTGAGTTGAAAACTGAGTTACAAAGTTTAATGGATATTGAATATAGACACTTCTAGTTATATTAACTCTTCATGATTTCACTATTATAGAAATGAATCGGTTTAGTTGAATGATTGGGCATCATATCACGTATGTTTTGTCAGTGGATGTAGTAGTAACTAGGATTTATGATGAACTGCACTCCTACTTTAACTAGTTTTATCAATGGGACATTAAGTGAAGAATTTTCATTTCTCCTTTAAAATATAACCGGCCTAATTTATTTATGGCCCAATAAGTTTTGTGTGTTCATGTAATTATCTAAAACAATTAGACTACTGATAGGATCTTTTTCTTTGTCTTGGAACTTATTTATTTTCATATATTTTTTTCCCCTTTTCAGGGTGTGAACTGAACCAAAATCATAAACAGAAGAAGCTCTTCTTGAGGCTACATTCAAAGTGCTTGTCTTAGCAATGTTTTGTTGCTGGTTCGTTTGACTTTTTTCCAATGTCTGGGTTACTCAATGTACATCCTCTTCCTTATATAATCTCTTTTAGCATTCTATGATTCTTGAATACCTACAGAACAATGATTGGATATAGGTTTGAGTAATGTTATTCAATATTGGCTCTACAATATGCATATCTTAGAAGAACTTAGCATTTCTTGCAAAGTGCATTTTGTGTTTGGATGTTGTTGAAAAGACTTTGAAATATGCCAAAACCCAGCTCCCAAAACTGTGACACATCTTGATTTGATTTTTCAATTTCTTTTTTCTAAACCGTATGCAATGGCATCTGCCATCTTGGACAATGGGTATTTTGTTTAACTTGGGAGAGATACACATTTTTTTTATTATCAGTTTTCGTAAGAGGTATCAGTCTCAATAACTGGTGTTTCACTATGTATAGGGCATTTTCATGTATTATAGATATAGCAAACTACTTTTAGATTATAGAATAAATTCCACTAGCAAATATATTCCTCAGAAGATGTCCCTTTTTATTCCTTAGTTTTCAAGAACGCTTTGTTGTTTGGTAAGTCATGAATCATGTTGGACATGTGTATCACGTCCACTTGAAATATCAGCATTCTAAAGAAGGGTCCTGCTACTCCCCAATCAAAGATCATGACTTTAATGCCAAAAATAATTTTCTGGTAGTTTCTTTTTTCATGCTTTACTCCTGTTCCTATCCCTTCACAAATACCAAGCCGTTGTCTTTAAAATGTGCTGCACAAACCAGTTACGCAGGTCCATCCACCAGGCATTTTTATCCTCAGCCTGATTCAGTCTGATTGAGACTGGAGCCTAAGGCTATATCCTATTTATCATGCAAAATAGTGAAATTATATGGCATTTTTTAGCATCCAATCGTCAATATAACACATAATGCCATAGTTGTCACTACTCACTATCAAAGGTCATTTTGAATTATAGTATTGTTGTTTGGAAGAATATTTTTTGTTATTTTTTTTTTAAATATTTAAATTGTCATGAACTTTATTATGTTGTACATTGCTACCCTGGTTCCTCCTTCACTGTCTGATATTTCTTTTGTGAATATAAATCTCGAGGCAATTTAAATTTAACCCCTCCCCACATCTGCATTTATACATATGGTTTTCCATACCGAAGCTCATCTCTTTGGCTCATATTTTTGTTCATTTTGAATAATCCTTGAACTTTGCTTGTAGTCAGCGCTCAATGAATCAAATACAAATCATCCAGACACCACTGTTCGGTCTTTCGGGTCATCTTTTTCTGCTCAATCTGCTTCGGGGACTCCAGGTTTTCATCATGGTGTGACATCGTTCTAGGGTTTCAGATTCTCTACTTTTCATTAATGATTAGTCAAGTTTTAGAGTTGTAATCCTTCTTAATAGGAACAGTACAAGGTCTGCATAACATTCATGGGAGCTTCAACATCCCCAACTTGCCAGGTTCATTAGCATCAAGAAACTCAACAATGAACGGTGTACCTTCAAGTGCTATACAACAGCCTACTGGAAGTATTTCCAATGGAAGATTTGCATCAAACAATATCCCTGTTGCTCTTTCGCAGGTGCTTTTTCAAGATCTACCTTTGAGGTTCAACATTATTTCAAAAATTGATTAAAAAAAATTTTCTTTACATTTTCACTTTCAGCTATGATCTAGAGATTTATGCATAGATAAATTTTATATTACAGATATCTCATGGCAGTACACATGTGCATTCAAGTGCAACAAACAGAGGTACACTTGTTATATAGAAGCAAGAATGCAATTTCTCTTTCTGGTAATTTTATACTGTTGTTATGGTTAACTTCAATGCTGTTACAGGAATGGGTGTATCCCCTATTCTGGGAAATGCAGGTCCTCGGATTGCAAGCTCAATAGGAAACATTGGTGGTGGTGGCAATATTGGGAGGAACTTAAGCTCTGGTGGAGGATTGGGAATGCCTGGACTGGCATCTCGACTGAATTTATCAGCTAGTGGATCTGGGAGTCTGAGTGCACAAGGACCTAACAGATTGATGGGTGGAGGTCTTCCACAAGGTAATGATTTTTTCTTTTCTTTTTAGCTGGTCGATACATACAAACAAGGTGCCATTTTAGTTTAACGATGTAGGATACAAGTTTGATACCAGTATGGCGTTATGTGCCATTTAGTGATAACAATTACTTCGTCACTTGATAACTCCTTTGAGGACTCTTTTGTAACCTTCACACCACCTTTGAATGAGCTTTTACAGAACATTGTAAAGGAGGATGTGAAAGGCAGAGTGTATGTCAGGCATATATTTTAATACAGGTTTGGGTCTGTCTCCACCCAAACTTATTCAAAAAAAATA